GACGCTCACATCCACACAACCATTTCTTTCTATTATATATTTCACTTTTAAAACTTCGTATAAATGCTTTATTTTTCGATTTACACTCTTGTTTTAAATTTAAAAAGGGCCGTGGCGGCCCGGCCAATTTTATGTTCACTTTACTTTGAAAAATTTTGTTATTTTCTTTAATATAATCAATATTTATACTCATTTTCAACTAATAAAAAACACAGTACAGAATAAAAGTTCTATTATAGAAACGAAATAAAAACTAAAACGAATTACGGAAATAATTATAAACAATAACGAATTAACGCGTCACGCATACAGTGAAAGTTGAAACAATACCAATAACGATTAACGAAATGTCAATCATAGCACCCATCCTTTCGGCCGGCCCCTTGCCGGCCGGCTCAATACGTCATACATCGGGTGCTCTCGGTAACCTTCGGCCGTGCGGCGCGCGAGAACCGACTCGTTACTCGGTACATTTCTATGAACTATCTTTTGTCTCACGCGCCAGGCGTATTGATGCGTGTCTCATACAAGATGTATTAGCAGTCCTCGTGCACTCGCCGGAGCGCACGATATGAGTTTAGTAAAGCGCTCAAACTTTTTGACCATAATTTTAAATTAAATTTATTATACCTTTTTGTATGTTTAAAAAATAAATATTAAAATGGTAATTTAAAAATTAAGATGACATAATATTTTGTAATTTTTAAATATTTTGAATTGGTGGTTCAGCGCACGGGCGCACTTAAGGTACAGCCGCCACTGATCATAACTAATTGCTAATATATTGTTAATAGTTTATCCATTTTCAATCGATTTAGTGATCTTTGCAATTTGGGTCTATACCAGTTAAGTATGTAATTCCCATTATTTTCGTTCTTGAAAAACATAATTATTATTGAAGCCCATTTAATTTAAATAAATTAATGACTACATATAATTTTTAATGTCAAATCGAACCTTACCATGGTATTTTAACCGAATACAGTGATTATTGTAATAATATGAAATATAAGTACATAAGTTACGTTCTCAGCTAATGGACGTTTTAAGATGGGGTGGCTACGGGTTGTATTGTGAAGGACACTTTCACGCCTCTCATACAATCTCTTAAAGGCTAAATCTCCTTAAGATCTGCCCTTTGACAGTTGATGCAAACTCGACCTTCTTAGTCATCGCCAATATTGGCATAATATTCGTGAACCCACTTGTCTCATTAACTTGTCTACGTTTGTTATAAATCCAATCAGATAAAACTTAAAAAAAAAGCTATAGAAGTCGAAAACTTTCGACTTTATTTTATGTCACTCTTCAACCTATATAAGCTATGATTAATATTAATTTAGTCAGAGACATTAATGAGAAATAATATTAAATTCAAAATTAATTTTCCAATTAATCCTATATAATATAAATATCTATACATGTCACTCATATAAATGCTTGAACGATTGTCATACGCTTTGTAATATGAAACGTACCCAAAAATACTCAAACACAACAAATAGGTTACTCTGATTATATATAAGTATATATATACTTGGTAAAGAATGTATCATAGGTACAGTTTTATGTTTTTCGTCAAATCATACATCTCCTTGTAACTTACGTGAGTAGTCATGACACATAATATAACACAGTAAAATTTTCTCCTTTTAAGAACATCTGACATATTCAAAGCAGTAATGAGTCCTTTTATGTCCATAATCTCACCTTCTTAATGTCATATTCACAAAACACAAATTAAGTGATCTTATATTTTGTTCTACGATTTTTAAGAGTAATATTGTTCTGATATGACTAGGTTTAAGCTCATTTATTATTATTAAATTGATAACGGTTGCTAAAAAATAATCAAAATGTCTAATCGTACATACGTATTTAAATAATTAATAATAAAAAATGAATAAACAAACTTTAGTTATATCCGAAAAATACAGTTTCATAAACCTGTTGAGTTCCCGCGCCTTTTGACTTTTTTTCTGTTACAAATGTTATTTTGACGAACATTTACATTTGTCTTCCTCTTGCTTCTAATTGTGTTATAAGTAAAAAAAATTATTAATAATAAGGAACTTCGTTTTAATAAACAGTTTTCAAATACAGTTTAAAGACTCGAACGAGTTATTATGATCTGCATTAAAAAATGTACACATTTATCCGACATTTCTACTTGAGTTAATCTCTATATACTAGTATAGATGTCACTCTTGTACCTAGATAATAATGTACAGGGCCACGCTTTTGTTTTGTTAGAAACCGATAGATGGCACATTTCTAAATTCTAAAATCTGTTAATATTGTGCCGTTTTTACTATGAGTTTTTAGTTATAGAATACAGAAAATTTACTTAAGATAACACAATTCAATATGTCAAAATCACATTATTACAATTTTTGGTATTTTATGTTATTATTTCTTTGTAATATAATATAGCTTTGTTTTTACTTGGACATTTCTATAGTAAACTTTGTTTTTTACCATTTATTAGTCTATTATATAATAATTGTGTACAGTTAATTTAATAGAAAGATTATACAAATACAACCAACATTTTCAACCTGACTTGAGTTTAACTTTCAAGTGCCAACTACCACTGGTTAATCTTCTTTCTCTGAACATATCTCAATTTTAAGAATCTGTGTATAACTGCTGAAAATATTAAACAAACTTATTGTTACGAGTAAGCAGCAAGATATTGTCTGAGTAAGAAAAAATCTAAAATTATAACCGATTTTCAAACTTTACTACTTAATATTATTCTATAGACGAAAAATTTGTTTGCATTAAAACGGCTTGGAAGTCATAAACTACTTACAGGACAGATTTTTATTAATTTTTTCAGCTAAATGTACTATTTAACAAAGAAATTTTAATTTGATGCTTTATAACACTTCATTCCATCCAAAAAAAAAACAAAATAGCATTTAATTTTAGATTATACCGAAATTTACTACATTCAAATATGTGCTTGTACCTATAAATAAGAACGGTTTAATTTCGCAATCAGTGTGGTCTCCAAGTAAAAAGCCTGGTAATATCATAATCACATTACATCAACATGCCAAATTTTAGTAAAAATTAAAATATGTAATACTAAAAATCAAGAATATATGTATGAGAAGACCTAGGATTTTAAAAATTGCAGTAGGCAACTATAAATACTGCCATCTAACGTCAATTGTGTAAAACTTAAGTGTGAAGCAATGGCTCATCGATTGTATAGATGGCGCTACATGTATAATTTATTTTCCTTACGTAGCTTCACACCCTGGACTGGAATGGTCATAGAATTCAGAATTATGTTTTAATGATTTTTGACCTCTTCATATATTGAAAGGTTTATTTTTAATGTTTATTATTACAGCCAGCACGAATTACTTCATTACTTAGGTTTTATAGGAATTTGAAAAGAAAGGACACTTGATTATCTATTTTTTATTGATCTTAGTTTATCTTCATAATTAGTAAAAATATGTTTTTACAGCTCTGACAACATGAGAAGACAACTAAGTCAAGAACTAATTATTATTCCTGCAGTCAAAAATTATAACTAGGTACTTGAACATACTATCGAGACCCTTTGATAAAAATATTGTTATTGATTTTATCCAAAAAGGTTTTTTATGAAGTCCACTTTATGAAGTTTCAATTCTTTCATTAAAATCGACTCCTTACACTTTTAATTTTTTCAATATGTATTTCTATAATTGTTAAGATTTAATTATTTACATATCCTTCAAAAAACACTGAGAAATGGAATTCTATTAAATGTAAAGCATGGTAACTTACATGTTTTAAGGGAAAGACAAATGTGTACAATTATATATATACATGCTATGTATATGTATACATTTGTTATGTAAACAAACAAAATTTGGATAACATTTCCTCAAATTCTATATTCCTAAATATAGTGCAAAATAGCTTTAAGAAGCTTTTCCTTCTCTCTCTACGTATTATATATAAATAAACAACAATCTAGGACAGATAAGACAATAGTAACCTTATTTTACAATTGTTTATGAATATAAAACCTATTTGAATGATAAAAAAATGAAAATGGAAAACTTTGAATATTTCAATCCAATGACAAATTATAAATTTGTATTAATAAACAATATTATTAAAAGATTTCATTACAATGTTTTAAGCACATGAAAAAAAAATATTTATATACAGGGTGACTGGTGAATTACTATCAATATTTAAGGAGCATACTCGGTACATGATTCTCATTCGAATTATGTAAAAAAAATAGGTACTTAATTTTTGGCCAAATTTCCGTAAAAATAAATAAAGTGTGTACACGTTCCAAGTGTTCCAAGTGTGGACGCGTGCGGCGGCGTGCTGATATAACACTACGCCGCCGCTGCGTCTGTGTGTGTGTGTGTACACCTAATCTGTAGGGTGTTCATACGATGCGTAATTAATTACATAACTTTTGGTTAACTTTACTTAGAAGTTTATTAATATTTATGTTATATTAATTTTTATTTTGTCATATATGATCGTCAAATATCACGTCCTCAAATATCGATAGTAATTCACCAGTCACCCTGTATATACATATTTTACAATTATATATCTTCTCTTCTACCTGGCAATTTTCCCAGCTTTAACTGGTTAATACCTGTGTTCACTCCGGGCAAGTACCAATGTGATTTTTCCGAATCATATGTACTTTCTAAGAGTATTTAGACATTACTGATTAATGCATTCCCAAAGATGGTTGATGTCAGGCAGGCGGCCGGTCGTAAAAAAAAATTTAGCTAAAACAGACCCTGACTGAAGCTGGGAAAATGCCAGGTAGAAGAAGAAGATATATAATTGTAAAATAGTCACAACCAATATACAATACCTATTCACCCGTTTTGATTTGTTTGAAAATTAAGTATATAATGAAAAGTTTTTATATCATTCATGTTATTGTTACCAGACACTGATTTAAACATTTTTCCTACTCTGGTAACAAATTGTCTACTAAATTACAATACTTAAAATTACAATGGTTCATTCACTTTAAATATATTATTTCTATAATACTTAAGTTCTTCTATACTTTCTTTAATATCACTCAAACATCTATGTTCAAATTTCTTTGTAGGTATTCTTGAATACTCCTTGGGAAACCATCTTTTAGCTAACTCTTTTATTGTACTCACATCAATAATTCTATAGTGCAAATAGTCGTTTAATTTCGGCATATATTTTCGTAAAAATAGTCTATCCATATACACACTGTTTCCTCCTAATGGGCATAATTTCTCCGGAGCATGAGATTTGACGAAATTTAAAATTTCGTTTTCTGCTTTGGTTAATGAGATTTGAGATTTACGACTAGCCTCCGTTAGTCCACTCTGAAAATACAAAATTCCATATATTAATCTAAACGAAATTATATATGTATCTAACAGTTTTCTCAAGCATTTAAAAATATGAATATTCTTAAGGTAACTTGGACTTATAATTAACATATTATATAAGAGATTGTTAATGAAGTAAATCTATAATATTCAGACTCAATTTGTGCATTTTATTATTTTAGATTTTAACAGTACTAGAAAAAAAAATTAACCCAATTATATTATGGTCTTATGTAATAATGAAATATAAGTAGTTATGTAACATATATTTGTTTCAATGAGTACACTAGACAGTTGTACATATTATTATGATTGTAAGTTTTCATAACAGTAACATATGCTAAAGGTGTACCGTTACTAGATAATAAGGAATTATTGACTACAATACCTCTCCATGTTGAGTAACACACCATTGATTCATATTATTCAATACTTCATCATCCTGATGTATTATTATATTGGGTCCTGTGCCGACAATATTTAAATGTTCATCTGTTACAAGGCAAGCTATCTCTAGAATATGATCCTTTTCAATATTGAGACCGGTCATCTCTAAATCGACCCAAACTATACGTTTAGCTTCGCTCGTAGAAGTTTTTGGCACGTTAGATTTCATTCTTACGAGATAACCTTAAAAGAAAAGTTTGAATTATCAAATTAGTTCCAATGTTTTATAAATACAAAAATGAGCTCTTGTAGTCACTTAAGTTTATTACATATATTTTAATTCGGATTTATGTCATATTTTAAGTAATACTTACTACTGGGTCTGATTAAAGCACTTTTCGTAAAAAATGCTATATAGTTACAAAGAAAATTCATAACAAAAGAAATGTACAAATATCGGGTAGGTATTTTATAATTTCTTCCCTCAATGCAAAGGTACGTAGTAATTCAGAAATAAATAGAAAACATCATTAAATCGAAACCGCCAATTACCTATAATATTGTCTTATATTGATAAGTTGTAAAGTTGCAACGTGCAAAATTGAATACTAATTTGACAGATGTCAAAGCTACTGTACAACGAGACAGAAAATATAGCCAAAAATCAGAGAATTGAGTAAACAGTAAACCAGACGGTTACTATTATTTTGAAAAATCAAGTAGTTTTAATATTCATCAATAGGATTTCTCTGTTCCCTAGTTTTGATACCCCATAATTTCTGTATGTAGGATATTGGGACCTTCAAATCAATAAGTAATTAGATTTAGTGACTTCAATAATTAATTAGCTCCAGCTCTTTGGCGTGTCAAGAGAAAGGCAGAAATAAGTTCTAGGTTTGTCAATCGAAAGAAAGTTGAATATTAACGTTATGGAAAGTAATCATAAGCCTTTAATTTTGTTATCAAATATATAACCGAGGTTTATACTTTCCATCAGAAATGTCTCGATTACTCTCACCTTTGAACACCCAAGGATCACTATTTATCATTTTAATAACTGTTTTCACCATATGTATCCCATCTCATCTTTATTGGTATGAAACTTCAATAAAATATATGTGTAGATTTCTAAATACAAAAAACTTTATTGATATGTAAGAATAAAATAACTATTATTATATGACGAGTGTTCTATATTATATTATATATCGTCTTGTTTTTAGCATATACTTATCATCTTTATACCGTAAATTAATATTTATGATGTTTTAGACATCTTGTCTGTTTTACTCGATATTGGCTGAAAATAATTTCAGCGGTTTCACACGACTGAACGACGCAAAGTTAGAATGAGACGAAAATTCTAAAACATTAATATAGATAGATAAATATAAATGAACATATATTGTCATGATATTTTTCATATGTAAATGGGTTATAACATTGATATTATTTTTCATATTTTTCCTGTGATAATCATTTAATAAATAAAAATTTTTAAACACTAAAAATATGGACACCGCCAATAAATTCCTGGATTATGATTAATACTGTATTTAAGGTAGAAAAATTCTTATTTACAGATTAAATTTATTTTTACTGAAATAAAATTGTTTAAATAAAAAAAAACCATTTGTACTATAGGAAAACAATTATAACAGAAAAAATAATGCAATTTCGTTAAACTCCAAATCCTATGTAAAAGTCCTAAAATTTTTCACACGTACCCAATTCCAAAGGTGGTTCTATTTATTCAATATAAGATAAAAACTAAAATAATATTTATATATTTAAAAAGTAATTATCAACATAGCCCATAAAACTATAAACTGGCGTATATAAGTAATTTTTATATACGTTTTAATTTATTTTAACTCTGCCTAATTATAAACAGTTCTTACTATTAGAGTAAGTATATAATAACCGAAGGTAATTTTTACATTAAAACACTGTGAAAAATATAAAATCTTCGCAAGTAAATAATTATAGTATGACTATGAAACATAAAACTATTGTGTTATCTCTTCGTTTAGCACAGTTGAATAATGAGAGCTTATATAAAAATTTATGCTTATTTAAAATTTTCATATTACATACATAACTTTTTTATAATAAACATTGTCATTAAGACAATTGCGTCCTTATATTATTTCTAAAATCACAAACGAAACATTCAGTTTTCTATGAATTAGAGAACTTCTAGTATTTAAATGAATTCCTTACTAAAAACACAACATTTTTTTTTTACAATATTACTAAATATTAGCTTACATATACTACCTATGTTATTTTTAAAATGTAGTTTTGAAAAACAGATTCAAAATATTTGATAAAGTGTCATCTTTAGATGTAACAGATAAAACAATAATGCAATTATTCTTCTAGATTGTCATGGTGCCTAAAGGTTGATTTTGTTTTTAATTTTCCTAATTTTTCTATTATTAAAGATAAATACAGCAATAATGAATAGAATTGTATTAAATCAATGTCGGTGTTTAAAAAAATCGGGTATGTATTAATATATGGAATCTATTTACTTTATTAACATTGAAAATATATCGTTATAACCTTTTGTAATATTTGATTGATTGTACTATGACTTCATCAATGTATATAATTCGTTGTTGATGAAATAATTTGTATTTTAAATATATAAACAAAACTTGATCACTTATAATGCAATTTCGAATCTTTTGTAAGCCACCCTTTTGTTTACATTGAATATCATTGATGAAATAAAATCACATGGCTATTTTACTATAAAACACAAATAATTTTACCGAATAGGCTTTTAAAATAGGATTCATTAACATTCCTTATTCAGCTAAATTAAATTCGTAAAAATGGTTTAGAAATCATAAATTTGTTTTGTAACAACCCGTAGTCAGTGGAAAATTTTCGTGGGAAAAAAAATGTATTTGAAAATTTTTGTTTCTTATTCCAGCTATACTATGGGAGACCAGACAATATCAAAACTTTCCATATATTGCTCTTTCAAGGTCATTATCTTATTACACAACCCAACCTATAGGATTGCAACATGATGTGTCTCAGAAGCCCTTTATTAAGAAATACAATCCCTTGTGGGTGAGATCAATATCCACTAGTAAGTATTACTATGAGAAGGAACCACTTAAACCATCTTCAAAAGTCGAAGCCACCGTTGAGACAATAAAGAAGGGGATAGAAGAAAGTGAGAAGTTACCTAAAAAGGTGGAAAAGAAAAAAAGCCTCAAAGAAAGAATTATGGATGAGTTGAGACATTATTATCATGGTTTCCGCCTTCTCTTTATTGAAATAAGAATATCAACATCTTTGCTCTTCAAGATTCTGAGAGGTCACTCGCTGACACGAAGGGAACACAGACTTTTGGTTACCACTATAGGTGACCTGTTTAGAATGGTCCCTTTTATTGTTTTCATTGTGGTGCCATTTTTAGAATTTGCTCTGCCATTTTTCATTAAATTTTTCCCAAATATGTTACCGTCAACATTTGAGAGTCGCAGTCAAAAAGAAGATAAGCTCAAGCAACATTTGAAAGTTAAATTGGAAATGGCGAAATTCTTCCAAGAAACCTTAGATCAGATGGCACCGCAGGCTAGTAATAGGCATTCAGAGCTGGCAAAGGAGTTTTCAAGTTTCTTTAATAGGATAAGGACTTCAGGTGACGTGGCAACCAGTGAGGAAATAATGAAATTTTCGAAACTATTCGAAGACGAAATCACATTGGATTCGCTGCAAAGACCTCATTTGGTGGCTTTGTGTAAAGTGTTAAACGTAACCACTATTGGTACAAGTGCTATGTTGAGATTCAATTTGAGAATGAAACTGAGATCTTTGTCTGCCGATGATAAGATGATTGCCAAGGAAGGTGTTGATAGTTTGAATTTCAGCGAGTTGCAACAGGCTTGCCGAGCGAGAGGTATGAGAGCATATGGTGTTTCTGAGGAGAGACTTCGGAAGGAATTACATAATTGGTTGGATCTGTCCTTAAATGAGAGAGTACCACCATCATTACTTCTATTGTCCAGAGCATTAATGGTTCCCGAACATGTGCCGACAACATACAAGTTGAAAGCGACCATTTCCGCATTGCCTGAGCAAGTTGCGACTCAAACTAAAGCTGCCATCGGTGAAAAGGAAGGCAAAGTTGACTTCAAGGTTCGCAAATTTATATTAATACTTAATACTATATATTAATATAAAATTAACACATTTATTTTATTAACAAATTTATTTTCAGGCTAAAGCAGAAGCTATTAAACTTGAAGAGGAAAAGATTAGGGAAGAGAAAAAGGAAATGCAAGAAGCCGAGCTCGAGAAACAGATGCTTGAGGCAAAGAAGAGGGAAAAAGATGAACTTAAAGATAAAGCACCGATTATTGATGATAAAAGTACTCCTGTTATGGTGGACCCAGCACCAGTGTTAGCCGTCGACATGCCTAAAATAAAATCCGAAGAAGGCTTGTCCGGCAAAGATATTGAAGTCATTGAAGATGCTTTAGAAAAATTAGGTAAAAATGGCAAAATGCCACACCATTTTCAGGCCAAGGCAGCCCAATATTTCTTAGATATTAACAAAAATAGATTATTAGGAGTAGTTTGTAGAGTTCATTACCATTCTAATTTTAGATTTTTCTGTATGAAAACATAGTATTCTGTTATACATAATACTTACTGTAAAGTATGAGAAATATTTGTTTCCAAAAAAACACAAATAAAAGCTGATAAATATATAAAAATACTGTAATATATTTTCATATCTATGGATTTATTACAAGTACCTTTTTAAATTTCAATTAATATGTATCTGACAATAAGTACTTAAACTTGTAATGACAATGACAAATTATTTAAAACATATTTTTATATAACTTAATACTTATTTGTCTAATTCACTAATATAAAAAAATATATGTATTTACAGCTCAACAGAAGAAATCTTTACTATTAGAGAAAGAAAGTATTCAAGAACTGAAAACAGAATTGCTCGACTACAGCGAAGATGTTAAGGAAATGCAGGAAATTGTAAAAACAAAACAGGCTGATATTAAACTAACAAAGGGTGCAAGGAGGTTTGTATAAAATTCATTATAATAAGATTTCAATAAAAATCTTAAACTAGGATTGCTAGAGAACTAAAATTATATATAACATTATTTAGCTTATTAATATTTTTCTATTTTTATATGAAAATCCAATAATATTATTTAATCTAGCCACAATATGTCATATTAACAATATTTTTTCTTTACAAAAATTCTTATCACAATTACATTTAAAGTAAATACAACTGTTATTATGAATAGATAATCTGTAATACTAGCACATATTAGAGTTGACCTAATTCAACTAATAATGTATTTAAATCAAAATAATCATAATCAATATGGATCAGCAGTGAAAGTGACCGATAAATCTATGAATCTATGCTAACAAACAATTTTAGATTTTATTATTAACAATATAAAGACTATATTCTGATAAAACAAGTAATTTGTCACCTGGAACAAAATTTATTATCAAAATTGTTTTGTAATCGACACACTATCACAAGGCTATGACCTTGAGTTTTAGTTTGTTTGATAAAATGTTTATGAATAAATTTAGCACAGATAATATAAATAGCACCACAGACAACTTCCATAAACATTCAACAGACATAAATAATAATTAATACCTTATTTCTTATAAATAGATGATTGAGATTTTTTATTTTTACAAGATATTTTATTTTTGTATAAAATATGTGAAGTCTATAATAATTAAACCAAATACTGTATAAAAGGCTATACTTTTTCTTGTTCATTTAAATAGCTATCGAACAATTACTTTTACTACTCTCAATACTAAGTGTTTATTGAAAAATCCTATTCAGATTATACCGAGCAGTGAATAACATGATCGGCAAACTCGATGCAGCTCTCATAGAACTCGAGAGCAAGGAGAAAGAATTAAAGACTACGCTAGAACAGACCAAGCATGAACCTAAAGTGGCTAAAGAACAATTGATTCAAATCGATGAACTCATGCATTCCATAAAGAGTCTACAGAAAGTACCAGATGAAGCCAAATTGAAGCTCATACAAGATGTACTGGGACGGCTAGACGATGACTTTGATGGACAGCTGAAAATTGATGATGTTTTGAAGGTATTTTAATATTTATTAATATATTTACTTCTTTCAGTTGTATTGTAGATACTTAAAGGTGTTAAAAATTGTGAAAGTACATATCAATACATTCAAAAGTGAACTTAAATAGTTAAAGCATACATTTTAGGTTTACTTCGTACATATGTATGTACATCGAATCCAAGTAATAATATATCAGATCTCCATATGTAAATGTTAAAACAATTGTAATAAGAAATACGATGTATCTCATTTTAAAATAACTATTGTTGTAAAGAAATAAAGACCTTTAAACTGAACAATATCTATATATAAAAGGCAATAAATTCAAATTATTTAGCCAGACAACATGAAGTAGTACATGAGATAATGTTAAATGGTGTGTAGAAAAAAATTACAAGATACAATATAGAAAATATCATCACATTTAATATGTTTTGTAATATATTTCTTATGTTTTAGTAAAAACAATGAACTTTTAATCACTTATTGTAATACTTAGTAATTAATACTTATTGTATTATGTAATATGATACATAAACACTTACATATACATATAATATGGCATAAAAGCTGTATATATAATTTTGACAAATATAAAATGTATACAATAAATAATTTATATATATTCCAGATGCTTGAAATAATCGGCAATGAAAATGTGAATCTATCGGAGAAACAGATGCAGGAGTTGATAGAACTCTTAGATAAGGAAGAGATATTAGAAGTTGAGAGTAAAATACAGAAGGCTTTAGTTAAAGCAGCCACTGCGGCTAAGGAACAGGATAAAAGCAGCGATTCTGATGGAAAGGTATGATATATATGGATATATACATCCCTACTAATATTATAAATGCGAAAGTAACTCTGTCTGTCTGTCTGTTACGCTTTCACGCCAAAACCACTGAACTGATTTTAATGAAATTTGGTACAGACATGGAGTTGACCTAGAGAAAGGACATAGGATAGGATATTTTATCCTAGACTTTTGAAAGGTTCTCTTGGAAACGCGATATAACGAAGCTGCGGGCGGAAAGCTAGTATGTAATAAAAATAATTAAAAACATATGTATATAAAATTATTATATATAATATATAATTGAAGGGTAATGTGCAAAGTGTCACAGAAAATATGAATATTTGTAGGTAACAAATGTATTATTGCTTTTGATTTAAATGTAATAAATAAATTTTGATTTCTTTTTTGTGGAATTTGTAGAATTATATTTATTTTTCATTAGAAATCATTTTTTAAATTTCAGCTTTGTTCATACATGTTTGTCATTTTCATAATGATATACAGTAATACCCCGCTTTACGCGAGGGATACGTTCCGAAGAAAATCGCGTTAACTGAAATTCGCGTATATCGAGGTTTATGATTAAACACAGTCAAAATTTAATATACAAATATAAAAATCATTTTACTCAATCAATTTAATTCTAAGAACACTATACAATACATAGGTACTCCTATTTTTTACGAAAAAATACATGTATTGTCTTTTGGGTAGCGTTTTGTTTACGTTCTTGTAAAATACGTTCATAACACCAAACACTGTTTTTAATCGTTTGACACACGTTCAAGACACGGTCATCATTATTGTCTATACTCTGCAATGATCCAACCTGAATAAATTTTTGAAAATCGCGTTATAGTAAAACCGCGCACAACGGGGTCGCGTTAAACGGGGTATTACTGTATAACAAAAATCGACATATATTTTTAATAATTTCTAATTTATATTACACAATAAATGTCAATTTACAGAACCTGTTTGATATAATCCGGGAAGCTCAGAAGAGACGGGAATTGAAAAAAGCCGAAGAGAAATTTGGTGAAGGTGGAACTATACCGAAGACCGATGATGTTACAACACAAGATAACAAACGGCCAGACAGCCCTTAAAGAAATATACTCTGTTTCTATACAATATGTAATTATTACTAACAGGTAATATCTAGAAAGTATATAGGTGTAATTGTTATAAGCGGTTCGGTTATAGTTTAAATTATATGATGCATCTGTTATAGAAACGGAGTTATATTTTTGATAATGAGTTCTAGTGAATATGTAAATAAGATTTAATTTACGTATACATTATGTGTCCTGTTGATTTGCTACGCAAATGTACAAGGATGTGTCTTGTTTGGGGCATGTGCTATGTATCATATGACAATAACAGGTAAAAACTTCTGATTGAAATAGAATGTTTTTTATTAGAATTAGAGGAAATTCATTGAATTATTATCTTCAAATGCCCTCTACCATTTTATTTCTATAAGGTCTTATATCCTGTATCAGACAAATTATTGTGTTACCTGTGACTTAATATTTTGTTATTAAAATTCATCACTCGGCTGTAAATAAGAATATTTATAATTCCAGATCATACAAATTTACTGTTGTTAAATATTTATTATATCATTTTAATTTTTGTTTCTTCAGAGAATTATTGTTATTGAATATGCATTTCTGTGATTGATGTTCAGTAAGCTTATTATTAATTTATTTAGTTTAAATGTATTAGCACAAATTGTATTATCCACCGCTACACCAATATTACCCTATTAATTATTCCATACTGTTCTCGATTGCAAAAACAGACAATACATAGTAATTTTTTTCATTTCTTTATTTAATACCTACATTGTACCATGTTCATAGTAAAATTGGCTGTTGTATGCTATGAATAATTAAATTATAAGTATATTTAATAATTAAGTTCTCCTAATTAGTACATTGACACAACTACTTATAAAAGCATGTGATGCAATTTTTGTAAGATATATGAGTATGCATACCCAAAAGATGTATATTACATTTATACTTACAAATAAAACTATGGAAATGTAACTAATTTCATTGTCGTATAGATGTGACGCTGTAAAGATTAAGAAAATACAGTTGTCATGAGATTCATTTGTTTTATTTACCTATGAGAATATGATTTCAAATCGCATTTAATATCCTCACATGTTTTACATTAAAAAATTCAATGTTCTATAGCTTCTTCAAACTATATGCCGTTGGATTTTCCTCAAACGAGTACAATATAAAAGTGTAAATATGTGAATCCTTTTAAAATTATAAATATGTGTATTAGAATTGCCAATGAATATTTAGAAATACATTTCAAGGAGTTTGATTTTCCCGGTTTAAACATGGCGCGAAATATTTCACTTAAACCATAGACAACGATCTGCTATTGGTCCAAATTATACAGAGTCCTCCAATAAATGTTTAGGAAAACATTTAGACGAATCCTGAACGACAATCGATGTAATCATAAAATCACGGGCTCTCAGTCAGCCATTTTGAATAAATTTGAAATTCGAAGCATTATCATTGGTCGATAAGGAGACGTCATTACAATCTTTTGACGTCGTTGCGCAAATTATAATTTTTAACTCTCACTTCGTTTAGCTGCCATGTTTTTTTTTCATGTGGGCAGTGTGTATTTAGAAACTATCATGATAATTTCCCCATATAAACTACTAAGGGTAAGTATTTTACATATCAGAAAACTGTGAAAGGAGCACACGCGGAAGTGCATCGCGCAACTAGTGAAAGTGTATCATGTAATCCTGTCGTGATATTGTAAAATATAGTTTCGGATAAAACCTACCGTAAACGAATTAAGATATAGACGTTTCGTGTTATTTTTTTAGTAGTTAAATGATAAAATATTTAACTAAGAGCTTAGTAAAGCATGGCGAATTTGTATAACAATCAAGCGAATGACGTTTGTTTGGCGCCATCGACCCATTTAGCCTGGCGGGGCGGGTATGGGTTTCCATGAAATTCTTTGTGCCCTTGCAAGTGCAAGTCATAGTGATAATTAAAACAAAACAACACGTGACATCATAGCAACTACAAACGTTTTATATTGCAGAAGTAAGGGGTGCACCAAGTGCGTCATACGTCGAGAGCTAGTGACAATGAACCAAATTCACTAAACGCGAATACCGTCGACTCGAGAATCAAAAACGAAACACTAGCAAAGATTTGGCCAAAGAATTAAGGATGTATTAGTACATTGGCATATAAGAGGATCGATATTACACACGGCCCCCGGCAAATGAAAAATGGACACACGATTTCTGAGCAAGATGATTGTGTTTGATGGCAACAGATATGATATCGGACAGGATGCGTAAACATAAAAGAGAGGACCAGGCCCACGCCTGCCGGCCTGCGACGTCGCGAGAGCAGTTCCTAAACCTAAACTCCTTCTGAAACCGCAATACTTTACACAGGTCAGTATTAGCCTTTGTTAGAACATCTTATACCTATATGTACATCTCCTATCTATTGCAGGCACATATTTTATTTTATAGCCTTCATTATTTTCCAAATTTATTTATAACTGATGAATAATCAAGACATTACAGTATACATATTTAATTCGATGAATACATAATACAGTGGTAGTGGATGTATCATGTACTTTTATTAATGAGATAAATTTTTGTAATATCATTTATATGTGTAATTCAATTGTTATTGAAAAATTTTTCTATGAATTCTTCAAAGATATTGTGATTATAATACCTCTTAATATGAAAAAATACAGTTAACCTTTGCATTAGTTAAATATAGCATCCGGTTTTTAAATGAGTCATTAGATAACTAATTATGAGGCACTGCTTAGCAAATGATGGTTAAATAGAATTTAACCGAAAATATTAAACAATAAGCAATTAGATAATGAGTTTACAAATAACTTAACTTGATATCAGATGTGGTTAACTAATTTTAATATTTTCTTTACTGTGAAGAGGATATGCAGTGCCCAATTGTACATCAAAAGGATTTTAACCGTGGGAATATTAAAATGAAGACGATAAATGGTTATAAGAATCCTTACAGAAAGGTCGGTCATACAAGCCTTTAGAAATGCACATATTTATTGAATTCATAGGCAACATGGGTGATTTGTGAATTTTTTTTGGTATAATTGTTTAATGAAAATTGTGTTTTTGTTAATTAATTCATTATTATTATATATGTATATGTGTTATGTTGCCTGTGAAGTGCACTGATTTTCTTTTCCCTTTGGTTTGCATACCTTCTTTTGTTCCATTGTTGCATTCTAGCCATCATGATTTATTTGCATAGTCATTATTGTATTTATGATTTAAGTGAATCACATGTTTTGTCTGTATTCATATAATTGTTAGGATTCCTCACAACATATATTGCGTTTTTTTTGTATCATTTTATAACTTTTTGTTGTATGTGAACAATTTAAGGATGATTTTGATTTGTTAATTACAGGAACCTAATCTGGACAAGATTGTTGATCAGCTGTGCACGAGACTTCAAGACATTAAAGATCAAGACGGCTCGTCTGTAGGTATGCCAACCTGTTCCATAGAACAGACAGAGGCTGTGCGTCGATACTACGCAGCTTTCCCCGCTCTGAAGAAAGGTCAAGAATCGCCGTTGCAGTATTACTTGCCACCACCGTCGTGGTGTCGTAAAACTAACACCGATTCAAAAGTCAAAATGCAAAGCGAACTGTCAATGTCAAAAGATTGGAATACAAAAAACAAAAAGTACTGCTCGGGCAAGGAGCGACGGAATTCATACCACGGGCCGAAGAAGAACAGCAGGAAACGTCACAACAGTTACAGCAGGTCCCTGGAGAGTAAAGAGAACCTGCCGGAGTGGATGACTCACGAGGGAGTGTGGGACATGGAGACACAGGATCCCGTCAAGGAGTTCATTAGAGCCATAGCACTGGACGAGGGATACGGAACGTGCGAGAACACGGTCACCGACGAACTGAAGGACGTGACGCGCGTGCGGTTCAGGCTGGACGACAACATGGTGCCCGACTGGGACGACAGCCTCGACCTGGACGCCGAGTGGCTCATCACCGAGGACCTCAACCCGCGGGCGCGCTCGCCCGTCGAGGAGGAGCTGTACGCCAAGTTCGAGGCCAAGTTTGACCGGAGCATCGAAGCCCTGTGGTCCAAGGAACAGAACACCCCCGACGACGAGTACCAGGACCTGCCCATCGACTTCCAAGATCTCCTGTCGTCCCCCTCCGACCAGCTGTTCGCGGACCCCGCCCTCGAGAAACGCAGCCTTGCCTCGCTCACAGAAAGCATCCGCTCGGGCGACGTGGAGCCTCGCGCCGCCTCGCCCCCGCGCTCCCCCGACGGACTCAGCGCCCGCCTGCGACCGCTGCGTCTGCACGATGCTCGCGCTCCGCCCCCCTGCCCGAGGGAGATAGAGTCGTTCGCACTGTACGAGGGCGAGGAGTTCTACGACGCGCTCTCCGTCGTGGCCAAGACCATGCGCTCGCTGGCCGCCATCAACCACAGCCGCGACGGCAGCGGCTTCGCGGAGGTGCCGCCGCGGCGCCTCGCCCCCCAGCCCCCGCCGCCGCCTATCGTTCCCCGCGCTCCCCCACGACGCGAGCCCGAGCGTGACCGCGAGGACCCTCTCACCTCGTCCCGCACGCACTTCCGCCCGATCCGCCGCGAGTCCGAGGCCGACCCTCCCCGCTACGCGGACGGAGACACCTTTGACATCCGCGGGGACCTCGACACCGTCGAGTTCAGACGCAGCGAGTCCGGCGGCGTGTACCTCGGCGCGACGCTGGAGCGGTACCTCGAGTACCGCGCCTCCCGCGGCATCGACTACGGCCGCCTCAACCTGACGCCCGCCCAGCGCTGTCCGGACCTCGACGACCCGGGCTTCCGGCTGCGCTTCCCGCTGCGGCAAACGGACGCCGGCGTGCAGACGGAGCGCCGCGCGGACGCTGCCTGGGAGTGCGACGAGTGCGGCGGCTCCGTCAAGAAGATGCGCGCCAGCACCATCGAGAGCATCTGGAGCGAGGCCCACGCGTGCCGCTGCGGCGCCCGGCCGTCACCCGCCGCGCCCGCCGCCGCGCCCGCGCCCGACGAGCTATCGAGGGACTGGGAGGAGCTGCTGCGGGACATCAGCGCCGCGCACCGCCTGTACGCCAGCGAGGCGGCCGGCGACGAGGACGGCGGCGGCGGCGCGGACCGGAAGCGGCGACACAGCGCGGCGCTGCGCGGGGGTGGTGGGCCGGGCGCGGCGGGGGACGGCGGCGGGGGAGGCGGCCCGCGCTGCTCCCACCCGCACGCCCGCTTCCTCCACTGCTGCGGCTCGTCCCCGGACCGGCCCCTCACCCGCTGACCGCTCCCCTCGCTCGCCGAGTCGCCGAGCACGCTCTACTGGTCGCCCTGGCTCTTTTAATTATTAATGTTCATTTGACCCGCCGCGATCGGCGCCTCTTTATTGATTGTTTAGATATTATTTTCGTTTAGTTCGTTATCTCCTCGCGCTAAGATATGCCGTGACACATTATGTTGACAAAATTTTGCACCTTCGACGTTTTAATGTTCTGTTGTCTATATAGCATGTATGATTGACAATTTAGTTTGCCTCAGCCAGTCCGGCCCGTAGTAGTCGCTCGTCGCCGTCGTTCGAGCCGGTGGTCGCTTCACGGTCTCAGTGCGGTGTGAGACCCTCTGACATGTTCATCTCGAGGCCATTTTATCACAGTATTGATGACTACCGTAGTATTAGCTTGAACCGATCATTTATGAGAGTAATCTACTCTGACCGTAGTCAACACTTGCCCGTTTCTCGTATATTGTGTGAAGGTGGCCTCTATCATCGCAGAACGGCTATAGATCGTTCGCTGTATATATATATGTATTTGTCGAACTTGTTCCGAGTTATATAACGTAGTGCCCCGCGCGTCCGATGGAAGTGCTAAGTATGTCGGGGAGCCAATATAAAATCGCAACTATTCTATAAACAGTTGAGTTGGAACGCCTCGTGCGCTCGAAGTGACGTTTAATTAAATAGTTTAATAGTTAATTAGAACTCTCGTTGTCGGGGGTCGGTTGAGGTAAAAAAAGGCTAAAAAAATATATATTGTGCTAACATATCTTCGATTTGTAGTAGTTGAGGGCAGGATTATGACTATGATTTTAGTTGAATGTTTCCTTTGTAGCGATTTTATATTGATGTTCTGTTTGATGGAATGCTGCGGCTTTGTTACGATGTTTTTGTTTTTTGGACTAGGAATTCTATTTATTATACTGAAGATATTCTATTTACATAAAGAAGCCGACTTTTTGGCCAGTGTATTTATTTTTAATCTTATATATATAATTTTTGGTTGGACATGAATTCTCCTATAGGCGGCAGCATTCCATATCAAACATGTTGGACGATTCTAATATAATTCTTACAATGATATCGTCCGGAGTTATTTAAACGATTTAATATTAAAATAGTGAACTGGTATTTTTTTTTGTTAGTATGTTTTTTCGTTTTTTTTGGCAATCAAAATTCTCTTCTAATGAAAATTATTATATGCTAGGTAAATTTGTTTTTTGTTGGTAATGATCGGGGAGTAATACATCTGGACCTCGTATTTGATCGCCGTATGTATATAACCATCTGTCGGTTGGATAGTATTGTGTTGGCTAATATCTAGGTGCTATATATAATGAGTTATCGATAGAATTGTTTTTTACGGTCCAGTTTGTCTGAAAGTTTATAAAGCGGTGATTTTATTGATTAGCCGCCTAATGTAAGTGGCAGAATCGTGTCGAGAATGGTTTTATGGTGTTTTATTTTCTGCCTGTTAGTTTGGACGTGTAGTTATCAGCGATGGACTATATTGGGGTGTTAGCGGAGTTTTTGTAGTGCGTTATGTACTGAGCGGTGTTGTGGTATTCGATTGTAGTGTGATTCGTACTGTTTAATATATTATAAATGTTCCTTTATCAATGATTATAGCAATTTTTCAAGTTTTTCCTCCGGCCGTGTTAGTCGTTAACTATTGTAAATTATAAGATCATATTGTGTACAATATTAATGGCTAAGTATAGGCGTCTGAATCCTTTGTAAATAATGGATCGTCGTTTTCAGCTTTGCTTATTTTTAATGTCTAATATATTGAACAGTGCGTGTTAGATTGTAATATAATTTACAGCGAATACCCTATAAAGATAACAGTCGATGTATCCGTAACTGTTGTTATATTATAGTTTATATAAAAAATAAGAAATGTATATGTTGTATTTTTCATTTGTATAGGAATCAAAGCGGTCTGTCGTTACGCTCAGTATAAAGTTAAAATATCATTAAAACGAGTAATGAATGAAGTTTAAACTTTATACTTGATTCCTCGTATAATTATATATATCGTTTAAATATTGCCTTACATAATAACATTGTCATATATTTTTCAAATCTTTGCTACCGTTTTGTCGTGTTTATATATTGTATTGTATTTATTATTTCTGTAGTGTGATTTACTTCCTTTTTTTTTGATAACTGAAAATAAATAAAAAATACACAAAAAAAATATAATAATATAAATAAATTAATAAATATTTCTCTGCAGATTTCTATATCGGTATGACAATTTATTTGTATATATTTAAAAATATCGTCAAATTAATGTATAAGATATTCAGTTCTATATAAATGTATTTTTTATTTTTTTTGTTTTAAAAGGAATGTCGTATCTGAAATGTATGATAGTGTTACCACCATGACGAGGGAAACTCGGAACATTTCAGGCATGGCAACACTTAGACAACGGAATGATTAGCAATTTCGGTAATTTTAATATCATCTGAACTAATTATTCGCCATCATTATACTTTGTATCATGTAATCTTATGGAACATTGTTATTTTTTTTTTGTTCATCTCGCTCCGTCATTTCATATCGTATTGTACTTATTCCATTAACGATATTCGCTAAAGAATACATGGAAAAAAAATAAAAGAAAATCCAAAAAAAAAATTATTGTAATAATTAGTCAAGTCCGCATATAATATTATGTTTGATTAGAAAATAATCTAATGTAATGTGCCTATGCACTTGATGTTTGTAATTATATCCTAAACATCTGGATAAGTTGTTCTTTAACAATGTTAGAGTTGTTTAAGACAACAGGATCTGTGACTTGCTCTGGGGGACGCCTGAAATGGCTGTCACAGAACCTAATACTATGTTCGCCAGTAGAATTGTTGCTGGGGAGTAACAACAGCTTTACAGTTTGTAACAACAGCTTTACAGTTCGCAAGAATAGCTTTACAGTTTGCAACAACAGCTTTACAGTTTCCAACAACAGTTTACAGTTCACAAGACAAGCTGGGCAACAATTTTACTGGTGTTACATCTTGTCGCCTCTAGTTTATGTAATCATGTGTGTGATAAACGACTGGAAATTTTTGTATTGTAATTCTATTTGTACTTTTATTTCAAATAAAATCATGTCATTTTAATATTGAAAGTTTATAAATTCATCATGTCATCATCACATTTGACGTGATTTTATTTGAAACATAATTATGATTATTGTATCGAAGATTTGAAGATTACTAAACTGTCGCTAACGTGAGGAGGCGATCTTGCCCCCAAAAAAAATATTCACTTGTAAGCCACATTTAACTCTTACGTGGCAAATGAGCTTTTCAATACATTATATGTAATACAATTTGTAAAATTTCACAGTATATATATATTATAACGATTCTTTTGTTTCTAATATTGAGATGAGAGCGGATTATATTTTTGTTTGTTTTTTAAATATAAAAAAATTTTTCGGACACGTCGCTAAATTAGCACACGTTTAAAATTTAATAATAATAATAATAAAGTAGATATTTCCATGTGTATGCTCTCCTCAATAGACAAGTGGGCTTGTAACCGATAGCTATCGCCTCGGTTACCGGAATATTTGTTCTAGTTTATAATAAATGTATTTTCATTTCTGGTTTCAAAATCAATAAATTATTAGAAAATAAAAGACCGGGGTAGTAGCAGTGCTCTAGGGATTGTACATTATTTTTTGTTTCGGTGCCTTAAACATCTGTTACAGTGTATGTGAAACCGTTTTAATAAGTGTGAAGTATATTTGACGACGCATCATTGTTTTATCTGTATCTCAATTCTCAGCCAATGACAGTTCGGAGTTTTGATGCGATGCGTCTAGTATCGGCACCGATTATTTTGTTCTAAATAATATGTAGTCTATTATTGATAGAATAGATGTTAAATTTATTAAAAATCAGGTTTCTTAGATAACAGTATTTACTCAATCGATTAGAAGTGGTTATCCCTGAAAATAGTTACCATAATTCGTTACGTTAGGTTGTGCTCGCTACTCTGGTTCTTGCCACCTGTGGGAAGATAATAAAAATAAACAAATCAATATTGTAGTTTTATTTTATATATTTTTCTTGGAAATATAGAATTTTTATGCAATCCTGTACAATAATTTTCTATGGATTTGTCACGCACGTATCGAAGAGATTGGGTATTTTTTAGAATAACAAAAATTGTGGGCGAAGTCGCCACTTGCTTAAACCCAAACTTGATGGTAGCTAGTTGTCCGTCCTTGTCACACTTGCGTGCGTGAAAGAGAGGGCGCTATACAAAAACCACAGTTTACACTTCGTCCATTGAAATGCACGCGGTGCTTCGGTGGGAACGAGCCACGCCGGTTTGTCTTCGAAATAACATATCGCTAATAACTTCGACAAATTTTATATGAATATACCATTGTACTTAAAATATTACTTCGAAAAAAGTGTGTTGAATTGTGATTTATTCAGTGAGTTATCGGACTGTTGATGCTGGTTTCGTTTATTAAAAGATTTAATTATATTTTCGGCGATAAGCGTGGTAAGTTTTATTTACTTAATTACAAAACAAACTGTTATTCTTTATTAAATGTACCACTGTTTATTGACATTTTTATTAATAATATTGGTAGAAAAAGAATAATTTCTATCGTTTTTTAACGAGTACTACCTAGGCCTACCTTTTGAATGGGGATATTTTGCAGAAGCAATAAATATCCAGGCACACAGTAAAGATAACATCTAGGTTTATAGCATTATTCCAGGTCAAAGCTCTAACGTACTATGGCAGAAATACTCTGTGAAAGTATTACTTTATCAAGCGAATAAAAAATAATAAATATATCGATTTTAATTCAATATTGTAATATATAACTTTGTAAAACGATACATGATTTTTTTTATAAAAAGTCGTGAATTAAAGAAATTTTCACTAGTGAAGTCTAGACGGCTCAAAGATTGGGTTTATTGGTTATCTATTAAACAACCGTTAAAGAAATAAACTTGTTGCAAAGTAGA